TAACCGTGTCCCCCCCTCTCCTCCCGGCCCAGGAGCTACAGGAAGATGGCGTGCCTGCCCGCCGCCCCGCCGGCGTTGAGGAGGTGGCTGGGGCTCGGGCTCTTCGTGCTGCTCTGCCTTAGTTTAGGTAAGCAGGAGCGGCCGGCGTGGGATCGCGGGAGGGGGCGTGCTGGGCCTGAGTGGGCGGCAGCGCCCGCCTGCTGGTCTTTGGGGGATGGCGGTCCCCAGGGCACTCGTTCTGGTGTCTTCTGCCAGGGCTGAGGCTGGGCCAGGGTTTGGGCTGGCTGGCTCTGCTAACCACGGCGGCGAGCACTGAGGACCCGTGAGCTCTCAGCTCCCCAGGCCAGTCACGCTGGGCTGCCGACTCCCAGAGAGGCAAGGTGGTCGCCCATCCCAGCCGGGGTGAGAGGAAGGAGGGTGTTTTTGGGGCAGCTGACGTCTGCAGGGGGCACATGGCACGGCCCCTCAGGCTTCGGCTTCGGTGTTGGGGCGGTTTCTGCAGTTTCTTGGATGGCTAAAAGTGAGTGCGTGGTGGGGAAGACAGGGCAGAGCGGTGGGTCGGAGGGCTCTCTGCCACCCAGGCAGCGCAGCGCAGAGCAAGTGCTTTCTCCAGCAACACAAGTCCCCATAGGAGGACTGCAAGGGCTGTCCCCTGTCCTTCTCCGAGGACCTGCTGCAAAGCTCACTGAAGTCCGCAGGTCCCCCTTGACCTCAAGAGGTTTGGGATGAGTCTTCTCAGCTGTGTGAAATGTTAACCTTGAAACCACACAAAACTCATTTCTCAGCTGGGATTCGTTGTGGATGCAAAATAGGTTGTGCTTATTGGCAATTTTAGTGTTTCATTGCAGCTAACGATACTCTGGAGCAAACCCGGGCTGAACTGAGGCTTTGATTAAAAATCAAGTGATGCAAAATTAGGAGTTTTTCATGCTGATGTTGTGAAACTGGGAGATATTTGATGCTGAGTTTCATTTTGAGTTTCAGTCTCAGAATCTTAAAACAAAACTCGGAGAATTTAACAGGGATTGAATCGCAGAGCTCACTTGTAAAGAAGCAACCACCTCAAACGCCACTCGTGAGATCTCTGCTCTCCTGTCTTCCCCCGCACTCCGTTCCCTACCTCTGCGCTTGTGAAGCACGCGTCAAGCACAGATGTATTTTGCCTGTACTGCAACGGGCAAACAATCCGTCATGTGCAGAACTGTTTCTCTCTCCGTACTGTAAGAGCTTGTGGTATGTTTTTAATGTAATTATGAGCATGTGGTAATTAGCTAGTCATGTAGTTTCTCTAAAAAGGATGCTGATTCCAAGACCGAAGACAGGCAATACTTGGATATACAGTCTGATGCATGCTAATATCCAGTACTAGAAATAGGAGTTTGATAAAAGAAAACTAGGTGTTCCTGTAGTTGTACTTTTTTTTTATATGGCTTACTAAGGGAATGATAGTTTATCCTGCTTTCCATCTCTCCATATGTTTCTTTAGGCCCTGCTTGTAACTTTCGAATCCCCTGCCTAGCTTCAACTAAATTTGACTGGGAGGCAGAGCTGGCAGAGATGCGGCATCCTTGCCCACTGCATGGAAGCCCCTGGCTAGCCACGGGCAGCACTTGAACAGCGGGAGCCCGTGCTGCCCCTCCTCGTGCCCAGCCGACAGAAAGGGCAGAGGGCAGCTGCGAGGGGGCTGTAAGGAGCGTGGCGGCACTGAGGGCTTGGGAATGGTCTGGGAGGTGTGGGGAGAGGTGCCCGGGCTGGGAAACACAAGGCACAAATCCATATGCTAGCAGTATTTGGTCACCCTGTTGCTGAGAAGACTTACTTCTCCAAATCTGATTGATTACAAAATTCTGGGGTTTCATTCTGCAAGAGGCAGAGTGGGAAAAAAGCTTTTTTAAAAGCCTTATATCAGCTTTTGGGGCATAATTGTTAGATGCTTCCCACACAATGAGTCTGTGGAAGTCCTGGTGCCTCGGGAGCGGGTTGCTTGGCAGGCTGACAAGGACAGCACATCTGATGTGCTTGCTTTCTCCCTCTGTATGCACGTGTACACACCCTGCCACCTTTCTCTCCAAAAAGAGGTATTCCTATGTTAGTCACCCTTGAAAATGCATGCTACGGTACCCACAAATGAGTGGTTTTGAAAGCTTTACTGGGACTTGTAGATGATGCCTTCCCTAGGTCACCCACAGGGACCACAAGGATCAACTTCTGACCTTGCCATGGCAAAATGGTGAAGCCCAGAAAGGGAGTCTGCCATGGCCCTGCCAGTGACTTCCCACGCGTTGTTAAACGAGTCACCAAGGCCAGCATTTACAGAACTGACCCCGTGTGGGACTGGTCATGACCACATCAAGGCACAGTCAAAGCTGGCACCCAGAGCTTGTGGCTACATCTTGCATCCTTGGGTTTAGCCCAGGTGTTCTGGTGCTTGCACACCTCTGTGCCGTAGCATTCTGGAGGGTCATGCTAGGATGAAAGGTGCTCTCCGTATGCCCTACATGAGTGGGATAGTAACATAGGGAATGCCGGGCTGAATTTTTACATCATAGCAGAAGGCGGCTTTAAGAGGGTCTTAATTTAAAAGGATGATTTGAAGGCTGTATTTCATAGGAAATTGTGTATGCCCAAGCTGCGCAGATACATTTGTTTCCTCTTGAATTCCACATGAACGCTGGGGTTCATGTGAGATGACCCACTGAAATGCCAGTGTAATTTAGGCTGCTTCTGAGATGTCATCTGCTGCTGGAGACACTGATGTGCATGAACACCCTGCTGTCTCAGCACAGTGGAAAAGTGGCAGAACAGCCTTGATTACAGCCTTGATTACAGCACAAACTTATTTATTTATGGTCTGAACGCATTGCTGGCATCCCTATGGGCTTGTTTTTCTCCTGCCATTGCACCTTCACACCTACCTACGAATATCAGGATGTTCTCAGTCGCAGTTTGTGGTATTAGGAAAATGTTGCTAGAAGTCACCCGGTACGACCTTTCCCTGCCCTGTGTGCAAACATGGCGTAGGCACGGATTGCAGGGCCCCAGCGAGCCCAATTTTTGCCCATGGAGTATTCCTTTTAGGCTTCCCTGGAGTCTTTTCATCTGATTGGGGACCGTCTAGTTCTTGGTTTCTTCCCAGTGGTGAAATTTTTTGGGAAGTTTTGAGGAAAATCCCTACAGCTTTTCTGAGTTATTGGAGAATCAGCGGGGGGGAATAGCCACTTCCCTCCGCGTTGTGAGCGAGTGCTGGCTCACAAGTAACTCACTCTGGGAATCCCCTCTCGCATGTTACTGCCCATAAAGACCCTGAGTGGAGCTGGGTTTCAGAAAGGGACAAAGAGGGTTGAGAACGAGAAAGATGCCCTGTTTCATGGCCACTCCCAAATATTGAAGTGTCTAGCAATGAGCTTTAGGTACTTGGCGGCTAATTTCCATGCCAGCTCCAGTATGGGTTGTGCCTAGGGCAGATTTCATGGTGGAGATTCCAGAAATTTTTCTTTACGTACCAGATTTGCTCACTTGATCACTGGATGCAAATTGAGTTTCTGTCTTATTGCTCTTGTTGCCTTCAGCTGGTTTTTTAATTTCTTTTTTTGGATGAGTTTCTGTCTCCTCCTGTTCCAGACATGCAGAAAAGAAATGTCTTTGGTTCAAAAACAAGAGCAGCTGAACGAAGGAACTCCTTTTTCTGTCTGTCTGTCTATCCAGAGTGAAACCTGCTGTAATAGATTGTCTGGAGAAACAGAAACCCAACTAAAGGCTCCTGCTTTTGCTTATAGACTCTGTTTTACTACTTCTGTTGTGTTTTTTAAGTGAAAGAATTATTTAGAAAAAACACAGAAACTTAAACATAGACAAGCTACATTCTTACACAGTCAAAATACAGTTATATGCCAGCATACCAAGTTTGTAAATCTACTGGTCGAACATTCCTCTCACCCACATTGTTTCCTTTTTCCAGTTAGATCAGAATGAACCCAGATAAGTCTGGTGAGCTCACATTAGTCTGAGGGCAACAGCTTTTTTGCATTTCTTGGATCACTGAGACATTTGTAACCTTTTTGCAATGTGAAGTCAGATATTCCTGCATTTAAACATGCAAAGTTTGGGGCTGAAGTTTTTAGACGCTGCGGTAGGTTGCCAGCAGAAGTTGCCACCCTGTACGCCCTCACACCTTTCCTGCTGATTGCTGCTTCAATTCTGAGTTACAAGCGTGGTTTAATGGGCGTAATTAATCTGACATAAATGAAGGCTACCACTGATGGGGTTATCCCCCTGCCTCGCTTGTGATGAGTTAGTTTTTTTGGAGGTTCAGCCCGCTCTCTTCAGTGCCGGTTTGCTTTTACACCTGACGCTGTGTACCCCAGAGGGGCATGCAGGCAGGCAGCACAGCTGAGGGGGCCAAACAGGTCATTGCCACTGAAAGCTGCAATCCTGCTCCTCTCTCCTCTGCTTCTGGCTATGCGATCCTCCGCTCCTTTGCACTAGTTCTGGTATGTGTCTGATCCTTGGATGATCTAATTCGCCTTCCAGCCTAGCAGAAAGTCTCTTTTTTTCCCTTGTTTTACACTGATGTGGTGTATTGAAGCAGCCTCTGGAGAGCCCTGCAAGGAAAGCAGTGGGAGCACGTGAGGTTGGAAGGGAAAGGGGAGCCAGATCCCCTCTGCTCGTGTGGGGGAGGCATGAGATCAGTGCCAGTTTGTCATCTGGCTGCACCGTGAGGTCGTGCCAGGCTGGAGGAGAATTTCCATGTTCAGAGAAACTCTTCTTCCTTTTTAACATGTGTTTCCTACTGTAAGCGCTGAGCACCTGTAGATGTGGTATTTTTCACAAGATGGCAAGGCAAATGTGCTGAATGCAGTGAAGTCTGTTTGCTTGGCGAAAGGAGGTCAGTTTTGTTTTTAAATAGATGAACTTTATGTTTAATTGTAGCTGTTCTGTCCCCTTGGAGGGACATCACAATTGGGAGTCTCAGGAGGTCATTTGAGAATATGTAAATCTTTCCCAACATGGAAATGCCACAGGCTTTGCTTCTGCTTTTTCACTGCTACGCTTTTAAAATATCATTTGTCCCAGGGGACTCCCTGGCTGAAAATAAAAGTGCTGACTGCTGGCTAATGGTGGCATATC